GTGCCTTGTTACTTGTCTGACACCGAGCGCCACACCACTGACAAGGATTGCTAGGGATTTGGCAGCGCCTAGTCCATTCTATCACTTGCGCATGCGCCTGTTAAATCCAACTGTGCTGTTTGCACGCGTGTCTTGTAATGTACATGGGCTTGCATTGCATGCCACACTCCGGACATCTATCAGACTGACCATGTTCCCTGAGACGCTTGGCAAGGAGGCTGAGGTTGCCTGTTTGGCAGCAGCTATTGCGCCCTCTTGCTGGAACACTTCAACGGGTTCTTCAGCAGAGGCTGCGCTAGATGTGCCTTCCGGCGCGAGCGCCCCGCAAGCAAAGGCAACATCACTGGAAGACTCTGCATGGATAGTTTCCTGCTTTGGCGCGCGCATCACCGGGCATGATCTCTGATTGAAGTGGGTCATAAACGCTGGCCACCCGCTAAATTTCTTCAGACACTGATTACATTGGGGCCTACCATCTTGGCAAATTCTGATACGATCGTCCTTTCTGACAGCCCTTGTTGCATAGGAGGCATATGTTTGTGTTATACTTAGTTCGGGGTGCCTTTTGCCAATATGGGTTCGCAACGCATGGAAACTTGCAAACTGCTGCCCACAAGTGTTGCAGCTGCAGGCAATGCGAGCGACCTGTGTGGCTTCCGTTAGCTCGCCTTTCTGCACTGAAACATTAGATCTATGAAGCTCTGTTTCGCTTAAAAGCAAGGTGAGCCATTGATCAACCGTTGGGGGGGGCGCAGGTGCGAAACATGCACACAGGTTTTCCACAAACGAAACTTCTGCTGAAGGGAGAGCTGCTTGGAACAAAGGAAGTGTGACAACCTATGGAAGGCTCGCCAGGACTGCTGAAGACGGTACTGCACTGTGAGTCTTTCATAATGTTGATAGCTGATCTTGATTCCTAAATAGGAATGTGAACTTCTTATCGGCAATTTCACCGGACCATTCTTAGTGGTGACTCTAAGGAATCTGTCCTTGCGTCTTCTCCGTATGATAGGAGCTGTGACTTTGTCATAGGAAGGCCCAGCAAGAGCTAACAAGATGACCGTCCTATCTGTCGAGACCTGCATTCCCATGTCCGCCAAGTCTGTCAGTATAAAGCCCACTTGCACGCATGCATTACGGAAGGGCCTAGGATCACCAAGGATCCAGCGCATATGAAGGTCATCGGCAAACCTTGTTATTTGATGTATGGACAAGTATTGAGTGAACTTGTCAAACAATAGCAAAGTGAATGCCACCCAAAGAAGCGGGGCTAAGCCACAGGCCTGGCGAACGCCGCTTCCCGCTCTTACGCAAGAAGATTCGCTGCCTTTAGAGAAGCTCATCATTGCATTGTCGTGGATATACAGTATAAGCGATATGAGATCCTCTGGCAGCGAAATACGCTCTAATGACGTGAGCAGACAATGTCTGGGCATCTTATCAAAAGCTTTGGCTAAAAATAAGGATAGTTGCATACCCGCTGTGAAGCGTGCCCTGCTCTGGCTGGGTTTAAAAGGATTGAACCGATTTGCTGCAACTTTGGACCTGAACTGTTGGCAAGGTGAGCCGGGCGGGGAAGTTGGCCTCATTGTTGGCAAGGGCTTGCTCAGTATCTGCCCGCACGCCTGCTCGTCTTGCACCTCGAGCAGCCCGTACGTGGGCATGCTGGGGATCTCATCCATATCCGCTGTTCTGTGAGGAAAGGCTCCACCAGCAGCACTTCTTTTCGGGCAGGCTGTTCTTCTTCTCCACGTGCTTCATCCATCGTTTCTCCCGAGGCTGCTGGGCGGACCTCCCCAGTACTCGCCTCACCACGTGCTCGAGGCAGCGGGTCATGGCCTCTGCTTCGTAAAAAAGGTCCTGGTACTGCGCGTCATGACGGTGGGCGTGCCTTCCGAACTCCCCGCCATGGATTACCTGGTCCACTTCCTGGTTCTCGCCCAGGATCCCCACGAGGCTCTGCACCACAATCATCAGTAGACGTCTTTGTCTTTCTTTCTTTCTTTCTCTCTTTTGGGCTATGGAGCGATCAGGTGATCGCCCCAGGCTTCTCCGCCCAGCTCCTGTACGGTTTGACCCCTCGTGGCTTCACATGAAACCATTACAGATGCGCAGGGGGAGACGTCTCCATCTCTCTCTCTCTCTCTCTCTCTCTCTCTGTCTCTCTGTCTCTCTCTCTCCCTCCCTCTTCTTCTGCGGGCTCAACCTACCCCCTGGGTAGGTCAGGGCACTGCCCTGAGCCCCAACTTGTCCGCTGTGTCTGGTCGGGACCAGCGAATACACAGACTCCGCAAACTCAATGTGATAGCATCCTCTTCTTCTTCTCCTCCCTGCTATTCCCTCCGTGCGAAAGGAAGGCTGGAGCAACGCTCCAAGCAGGCGCGGTCCAGGCAACGCAGACTGCTCCAGGTCCCGAGTACCAAACGTCAGCCCACACCCAAGGCCAGTTTCGAGAACATATTCCCTTGTAGGCTACACATGTATCTCCCCGCCTCTGGATGCAATCGTGAAAACTGGCTCGCCCCAGCGCCAGCTAGAGCGATGGCAGGGTTGAGCGCGCAAGGAATGTCCACGGGTTGCTAGTTAGGTGGGTTCGTTGAGTGAATCTATTTGTCTCTAGGCCGGACAGGCCGACGCCTGGCCACACGAGGATTTCGGACACCTTGTCTCAAAAACACAGGCGCAGGAACTTGCGGGATCACTACCATGTAGCAGCACACGCAATGCACCCAACGGCTTAAACACTACCTGCCTGCACCCTGCATGTGGGAGAAACGGCGGACTTCTCATCGGCATCTTCTACCAGGGGAGCTGTTGCTACTTGCACACTCTGTCGGGCCGGCCATTTTGTCAGGACAAT